GAATTATAGCGCGTGTTTATAAGAGTAGTTAAGTTTAAAGTGATTGTGGAAATTCTATGTATTATGAAGTTGTATCGAGAAAGAATAAGCTAGCTTTAATTAAGAAAGGACTTGTATTGCTGAAGTTCCTCGTAAAGAATTTATACCGGAAATTAACAAAAGAGCAAGTATATTTATTGTTCCTATAAAACTGCAAGTACAGGTATATTTATTGTTCCTATATAACTGTAAATACAGGTATATTTGTTGTTAGTACAAAACTGTAAATACAGGTATATTTGTTATTACTACAAAACTGTAAGTACAGGTATACTTCTTCTTCCTATAAAACTGTAAGCACTTGTTTATTTGTTGTTCCTATAAAACTGTAAGTTCAGGTATATTTGTTGTTACTATAGAACTGTAAGAACAGGTATATTTGTTGTTGCTAAAAATATGTAAGTACATGTATATTTATTGCTCGTAAAAAACTCTAAATACAGGTATATTTGTTTTTACTATAAAACTGTACATACAGATATATTTTATGTTACAATAAAACTGTAAATACAAGTATATTTCTTGTTCCTATAAAACAGTAAATACGGGTATATTTCTTGTTCCTATAAAACTGTAAATACAAGTATATTTGTTGTTCCTATAAAACTGTAAATACAGGTATATTTTGTATTCCTATAAAACTCTAAGTTCCGGTGTATTTGTTTTTCCTATAAACTCGAAGTACAGGTATATTTGTTCTTCCTATGAACTCGAAGTACAGATATATTTGTTCTTCCTGTAAAACTATAAATACAAGTATATTTGTTCTTCCTATATAACTATAAATACAAGTATATTTGTTGTTCCTATATAACTGTAAATAAAGGTATATTTGTTGTAACTATAAAACTGTAACAACAGCTATATTTATTGTTACTATTATAATGTAAGTAGAAGTATATTTATTGTTACTATAAAACTGTAAATACCCATATATTTATTGTTCTATAAAACTGTAAATACACGTATATTCATTGTTCCTATAAAACTGTAAATACAGATAACTTTCTTGTTCTTTTAAAACTGTAAATACAAGTACATTTCTTGTTCCTATAAAATTGTAAATACAGGAATATTTTGTGTTCCTATAAAACTGTAAGTTGCTGTATATTTGTTCTTCCTATAAACTCGAAGAACAGGTATATTTGTTCTTCCCATGAAACTGTAAATACAAATATATATTTTTTATTCCTATAAAACTATAAAAACAGGTATATATATTTTGACTATAAAACTGTAAATACAGGTATATATATTGTTACGACAGAGGAAGTCACGCGACCGTGGAAGCATGAGTGTTTGAGTTTCTAGAAGAATCATGTCTGTTCCTGGCAAATCTTGTCTTTTCTACGCGCCCTGTGGCCCGGCATGGCCAGGTGGATGCATGTTTGGTGGGATGCGGATTCAAACCCGCGACCCTCAGATTGTGAGTCGAGCGCCTTCCCACGGCTGAAAGGGCGAGGTTTGTTTGTTTTGGAATTTCGCGCAAAGCTACACGAGGGCTATCTGCGCTCGCCGTCCCTAATTTAGCAGTGTAAGACTAGAGGGAAGGCAGCTAGTCATCACCACCCACCGCCAACTCTTGGGCTACTCTTTTACCAACGAATAGTGGGATTGACCGTCACATTATAACGCATACTGGTCATTTTCAGTTCTATAAACCCACCTGAATTTCTCCCAAGATGGTCGTCATTATACCCAAAAATAAGCAAGATTTTGGTTCAAAAGCATGAAACAAACCACATGTATATGAAAATATACTAAACTGTGTTCAACAGAAAGCTAAATCGTACGAAAATTACGGATCACATCTGATTTAATACGACGGATAGTTTAAAATACATTACATACGAAGTGTTCGAACTTCTAATGAACCTTTATGAGGTACTTATGAGGTTGCACACTCATTTTTAACTTTAAATAAACAGTTTTATATTGTAATTGTTCGTCTCGCACAAAAATAAGGACCATATTGAATTTGGTGGCCATATTGAATAAACATTAGGTGCGACGATATCTGAAAATTATCAGTAAGTATTTAACTAACAACATGCAAAGGTTCATGCTTTTAACACGATATGCACAGTTTGCTCACTGTCTGTACCATACTGCCTTACTAGCTGTATAGTTTGCGCTAATATTGAAAGTGTGGCTTTTATATATATATATATATAAATTGGCCAAACATGTAGATATTTACAAATTAGACTCAACAACATAACTCACCCGTGGAAAAACGAAAAATAAATTAATCGTCTTTAGCAGAATGTATTGCTAACAATTCTGGTGTTGATTGGAATAATATTAAATTGATTAAATATAACAATAACAAATATGAGCTAAATGTGATAAAAATCATTAGAAATACTTATGAATTTAAATTGAACTTTAAGTAGAGATGCGGTTCTAGATGTTGTAGAAATTCACCAATGCTGTTTTTCTTCCTGATAATGGTGATGAAAATGGCCTAGTGCCTTCGACAGTATTCAATTACTGTGTACTTTTAAACGTTGTTTAACTGAGCTTTGAGTAGTATTACGCATTACAATTTCAAATAGCCTAAAACTGAGTTAAATTGTAAATTAGATTTAATTGTTAAGTAAATGCCGATATATATATCCAACTAATGCCAACAAGACTGATACACGCAGTTTTCTTTTTTAATACAAATATATTTTAATATACAAATAATAATACAATTTACAATAATAGTTATTACAAACAATTATTTATATACAAAAGTTTTACAAACTTATAAGCAATATAATATCTTCTTTCTAGTTTGGAACTTCCTTGATATCTTATGGAGGGTT